AGTGAGTTGGATCTAACTAACTCCAAACTAAATGCCAAGCCTCATTTAACTTCTTCCATACCAAATTCCAAGCCTCTGCTCACTCCAAGCCTATGGTCTATATAAGAAAATCCCTCACATTGATGCAAGGACCTTCACCAAGACCTTGGCCATACTCTTCATTCTCTCATTTTGCTATGAATTTTCACTCTTCATTCTCTGAATTTTTGCTTCACCAAGACCTTCACCAGTATCTACGTGCAATAATTTTTTCTTAATTAATTGCATGATTTTCCTTGATTATTTTTCAATTTGGCTACATGTTTGAAGCATTTTTTACACAATTTTGCTTATGTGTTAACATGAAAATGCTTAGAAATTCATGCTAGCTTGATTTTTGTCAATGCTTTGCTCTTTGAATTGATGCATTAAATTTTTTGCTTGAGCAAATCTAATCTTGTTCAACATTATTTTCCATACTTGCTTTGATAATCTTTTACATCGCTTAAAAGATTATTCGCATTTTCTCCTTTTTGATTAATCGATCAAAACTTTGTTTTGATTAATTAATTGCCCCACTCTCTTCTTTAGGATCTCCCTAGAGCCTTTCTTTCTTGATCCTGTTTCGAGCCAGATGACTGAGCAATCACCTGGAGCACTGTACTAATTGAATCGTCAATCCTATCAACCTCAATTTTCGCACTACGCTTTAGGTGTTAGAGAAGGAATGAGAATGGAGAATTCCTACCCCTCATTTTGACTATTTTTGATAGGGAACGAATGGCTCTGAGTCTGTAATAGTCACCTCTATCCCCAAACTACAGTATCTCTTGAGTCGATCCTTGGTCACTCATTCCTACCCCAGTATTTTCTCTTCCTTTTAGGTTAATCACCTTTTCTTGGTTAAAATACCATTTTTGTTGGTTAATCACTGCCTGTCAGTTAAAAGACTAACTACCGTTCCTTCGGTTAACCACTGTCTATCAGTTAAAATACTCGTTTTTCTTGGGTTAATCACCTTTTGGTTAAAACACCCATTTCCTTGGTTAATCATTGTTCCTCGATTAAAAAACCATTATGTACCTTTTGGGTTAGGAACCTTCTCTTGGTTCAATCACCATTTTCTTCAGTTAACCATTGTCTATCAGTTAAAATATAGAGTCCCTTTTGGGTTAGCAACCTTCTCTTGGTTCAATCACCCTTTTCTTTAGTTAACCATTGTCCGTCAGTTAAAATACCAAACCTCTTTGGGTTTGCAACCTTCTCTTGGTTCAAACACCTTTTTCTTCGGTTAACCACTATTTATCAGTTAACATACCAAGTCCCTTTTGGGTTAGCAACCTTCTCTTGGTTCAAACACCATTTCCTTGGTTAACCACTGCCTGTCAGTTAAGAGACCAACTTCCTTTTCTTTGGTTAACCACTGTCTATCAATTAAAACACTGATTTGTGTTGGGTCGATCACCTTTTGGTTAAAACACCCATTCCCTTGGTTAATCACTTCTTGTTAGTTAAAAGGCCAATTTTGCTCTCCCTAGTGGAGTCATTTCCCCATCTCGTTGGTTAACCACTGCCTGTCAGTTAAAAGACCAAATTTCCTTTTTCTTCGGATAACCATTGCCCGTTAGTTAAAATACCGAATCCCCAGCGGGTTAAACATCTCCTTTTGGTTCAAACACCCATTCCCTTAATTAATCACTGTTTGTCAGTTAAAAAATCAATTTCCCTTTTTCTTGCGGGTTAATCACCTTTTAGTTAAAACACTTATTTCCTTGGTTAATCATCATTCCTCGATTAAAAGACCAATTTTCTTCCCCAGCGAAGTTGCCACCTTTTCGTTGGTTAACACACTCCTTTCCTTGGTTAACCACTACCTGTCAATTAAAAGACCTATTTTTATTTTCCCCAGTACAGACTATTATTTTCCTATTGGGTTAATCATCGAGTCTCGATTAAAACACCATTGCTCCTACCTCTTATTCCTTCTCTTGGTTTTAACACCTCTTCCTTGCTTTTCGTCTTAGAGATCTGAACTACGAAGGCTATGAATTCCTCATTGCACTATGAGGATACGTAGACACAATATTGTGAAATCTTGGCAAGATACCTTCTTCTTTCTTTCCTCGATTCCATAAACTACGGAGCTCTAAGATCCTCATTGCACTACGAGGATACGTAGGCACGAGGGCCCCAATCCTTCGCGAGCACTCTCTTCATCCCTCTTTCTTCCCTCTTTCACGAGTAACCTCTAGATAGAACACTCATCCGAGTCTAAAGCAAGTAGAATGGTTCCTATCGAGTACGATAGTTGTGTGGCGTGCTAATACCTTCCCCTCACATAACTGAATCCCTTACCCGTTTCTCTTTACATTAGGTTTTATCGATATTTTCCCTTTCCTTTCGGAATAAATAAAGTTTGGTGGTGACTTTGTTGTACCGTCAAGCGTGCAATGCGCTTGGGCATATTCTCGCTAGCTTTAGGGGTAACGTTGGACCGATTGAACCAGGGAAAGGGTTGAGGCAAGGGGACCCACTGTCCCCTTACCTTTTTATTTTAATGTCATAAGGTCTTTCAACTCTTATAAACGGAGCATTGGCTAGATGGGACATTAATGAGATCCAAATATGTAGAGGGGAACCCACTATGTCCCACCTTCTTTTTGCTAACGAGTGTTTTTAGTTTTGCAGGGCTAACCTCTTTGAATTTAGACATCTTATGAAGGTGCTCAATACTCACGCTGAGGCCTCGGGGCAGGAGATAAATTTGAATAAATCTGAAGTGTTTTTTTAGCCGAAACATTAGTAATTTAGCTAAGAAGGATCTTGCTAGCATTATGGGAGTTTGTAATGTGTTAGGAATTGGAAAATATTTAGGTTTCCCCTCTTTGGTTGGTAGGAGTAAGAAGACAACTTTCTCTTTTATTAACGACCGTATCTGGAACAAAATTAATTCATGGAACGGTCGAGCTATCAAAAGCAGGAAAGGAAGTTATGATAAAATTGGTACTCCAAACAATATCATCTTATGTCATGAACCTTTTTATTCTCCCAAATGAGGTTTGTAATGATATCGAGAAGATGCTTAGTTCTTTTTGGTGGGGAGGATGCACTAATAATAGGGGAATCCATTGGTTGGCATGGGATAGATTAGCTTGCTCTAAGAAGGAAGGTGGATTAGGATTTAAAGACTTTAAAGCTTTTAATATATGGTTGCTAAACAAGGTTGGAATCTATTTTCCAAGCCTCATTCTCTTATTTCCAGAATCTTCAAAGCAAGGTACTTCCTTAGAACATCTTATTTTGAAGCTAATCTCGGTTATAACCATAGTTTTTATGGAGGAGTATTTAGAAGACGAATGACGTCTTATATATAGGTTACAGGTGGAGCATTGGGGATGGTAGTCAAATCAAGGATATGCAAGATCCTTGGATCAGGGGGAAAAGGGAAGGGTGCCTGAGTGGCCCCTAGAAGCAAGGTGCGTATGATATTACAATTAAAAATCTTATGATGCCTAATGTGAAACAATGGGATTTGAGGATTATTAGGGAAGTGTTTAATTGTGCAGATGCGGATGAAATCTTACGGGTACCCTTTTTGGATGAGGTTAAGGAGGATTGGATGATCTGGAAGGAAGAACAAAATAGGTCATACATTGTGCGTTATGGGTACATGTTATGAAGGTGCTTACGGAGGAGGCATGAGGATGGGGAAAGAGAGGAGGATTGAAATAGTCTCTGGAATATTAAAGCTCCACCAAGGGTTAAACATATCTTATGAAGAATCTGCAAGGAATGCTTAGCGAATCATGCTAAACTCCGACAACACCATGTGCCTTGTCCTTCTACTTGTCAATTTTGTGAGAATAATCTTGAAGACGACTGGCACCTGCTTTTTGGTAGTGAGGCGATTAACCATTGTTGGTGGGCAACAGGTTTGTCCATTCTTATAGATGCTCGTTTACATTATTTTGGTGATGCTAAGTCTCTAATATTCGATATTTGTATCAAGGAGGATAGGAAGGAGGCTGGTAGAATTGTTATTATGTTAGATGAGATCTGGAAGAATATGAATAATCTCATTTGGCATAATGATCACGAGGAAGCTCCTAAGCTTAGGTGGTTAGCATTTAACAAGTGGTAGGAATGACTTATGGTTCAAAAAGAGCTTGATCCATAACCACCAGTTCCCTACTAGTTGGAGTCCGCCTAGGGAAGGATGGTTGAAATGTAAAGTGGATGTGGTGTTTAATAATCATAACGGCACTTCTAATAGGGGTTGGTGTGTGCGTGATCATAGGAGTTTCATTTCTACAGGTGTGTCTTGGGATCCTGGAACTTTGCCCGTTTATGAAGCTGAAGCTTTGACTCTCAAGGAAGCTATCCGCGAAGCTATTGACTTACATACGGAGAAAGTGGTTTTCGAAAGCGCTTCTCAAAAAGTAGTTCAAGTCATTCACTCCAATAATAACAGTGAATCTGAGTTTTATTTTATTATTAATTCCATAAAAGTTTTGTTATTTGTTAACCCAAACTTTGAAGTAAAGTTTATTAGACGTCAAACGAATATGATTGTCCACTCTCTAGTTAGGGCAATCAATTCTTGACTTAGACGTAATGCGTTTAATTTTACTCCCCTTTGTATCGAACGCTTCCGGATTAATGATATATATTAAGTTTGTGTTTAATAAAAAAAAAAATCCTCAATTATTCACTTTATGCATCTAATGTGTGTGAAAGTTGCTTGTTATATTTATTTTTTATTTACCAAAGTTTGTGTCCGAGTCTTTAGATAGCTCTTAAATAGGCAATAGGTTGGTTATGTGACTCACACATTCAATACATGACAACGTTTTCCGAATCTAAAACAAACTCTCCGAATTATTTGTGTTTACTTTTGAATAGTTCAAAATCTCATCAACAATTAAACTACAAACACACAAGCAAATCTAAATGTTCCATTTTATAACTTCATAACAATTAACCAAAAAGAAAGTCATTGTGATATCATGCAGTTTCATGCAATGGAAACAAGATCATCAAAACGCAAAAAGCTAGCTCTGATAGAACAACAGAATGATGCCAAAAGAACACCAACAACAGACCAAATCAGTGATCTACCAGATGCTGTCATTCATCAGATCCTTCTCTTGCTTCCAATCAAATGTGTTGCACAAATGAGTGTTCTTTCAAAGAGATGGAAGTTTCTTTGGACAACTTTTCCTGATCTTGATTTCACAACCCTTAATCCATTTCCACTTGTTTCAACCAAAAATCATAAAAAAGCTTCCAACTTTGCAAAATCTGTACACCCTTTATCATCACAAAAACTTGATTTCATCACCCAAGTTCTATCTATTCGCGACACGAAGCAAAAGGACATAAGGGTTCTTTGTTTTCGCGCCCGCGTGGGCTTTTCGCGTTTAAATAACTTGATTCGTAATGCCATTAGGCATAATGTTAGAGAACTTGATATTGAAGTTGAAACTGAATTTGATACAGATGATTTTTTCAACTTTCCTAGGTGTGTTATTGGTAGTGAATCTTTACAAGTTTTGAAATTAAAATCGGGTTTTCGTTTGCCTCCTTCGTCGATCATGAGAAATGGGTTTCAATCATTGCATACATTGTCACTTTCACTGATTATTTTGTATAATCAGCCTTCTCTATCTGATATGTTCAATGAATCATCTTTTCCAGTTTTGAGAAATTTGCGCCTTGATTTGTGTTTCGGGTTAACACATATTCGCGTTGCCTGTCGCGCTCTAGAAGATTTGAATTTGGAAAGATGTTATCAGCTACAAGGTTTGGATGTTTGTGGCGCGAAAATTCAAAGAATTAGAGTAACTAGTTGTTTTGATGCCTTTTGTAACAAGACTTGGGTGAGGATGAATGTGCCAAAGCTTGAAAATTTGATTTGGAAGTTTAATGCTGTTACTGATGTTGCTGTTTTTGAGAACTCAAATTTGTTGAATGAAGCTTCTATTGGTTTTTTTATGTTGAAAGAAGGTAAAGTTAATATGGGTAGGCTTCAAAGTGCTAACAACTTCTTCTCTGGATTATCTCATGCTCATTCCTTGATTCTTGAAAATCAAACAATTGAGGTAATTGAATTTTATGTGTCCTATGATCTTATTGTTTTGTTAAAATTACATTTGCTGTAGTAGTAGATGTCTCAAGGTGTCTGACGTGTGTCATTCGTACACGTATTAATAAAGTTAGATTAATGTCGAAAAGTCAGACAATAATCTGATAGCAGTGTAGTGTTGTATGTTTTTGACATTATCAATAGTGTTTGTGTCGTGTCCTAGTATCCTTGTCAGAGTCTATGATTGGTTGCATTTACCTCATTACTCTTCTTTTGGTTGCAGATTCTATCAAAGTACAATATTTTTATTCAGCCATTTTATAATCTCAAGTCATTAGAGATTCATACTGGTTTGAAAAAGAGAAATGTTCAAGCATTAGCATTCCTATTCAAGAGCTCTCCTAGTCTCAACACACTGATTCTGAAGATCGTCGACGACGATAAGGGCGAAAGAAAAGTAAGCTATATACCTGAATTTATTAATCAAGTTGAATTGAAACGCATTTTTTATCCTATTTTATTTGATATCTATGTATATATATATACTTTTTGTTCAGCAATGGAATAGAGATTTATGGGATATGACAAACACAGAAGAAGAGAAGTATTGGGAGTCACAGATACCGAGTTTGAACTCTTTTCTACAACACTTGAAAGTGGTTAAAATTCAAGGTTTTCTTGATTGTGCAAATGAAGTTACATTAACAAAGTTTCTTTTGAAGCATGGAAAGGTTTTGGAAAAAATGATATTGTGCAGAGGTTATTCAAATAGAAGAGATATTCTGAGGAGACAGAAGATAAGGTCACAAATGATGGGATTTTCTTGGGCTTCTTCTAATGCCAAAGTTGAGTTTCAGTAGCCTAAATTTCGCATCTTTTAATTTGATACACATTTTTGGATACTCGTTATTAGTCTTTTAATTCTCGAGTATGTCATTTCGACATTTATCAGTTAGTTTGATCCTCGAATGTGTGTGTCGCCCTCTTTTGTTATTCAATTTGGCTCGTGAAATTATTAACAATAGACACTCGAAAATAGATTTGTAGTTTAATACATGTTACAGATGTACGAACCAAAACCACTGGTAAAATCACCAATTCTTATGACCGGGAACCCAATGTGGACATTGTAGACTAAAGAAACTCGAAACCGTCTTAGTGTTAAGAAGTTCGATAATAGGATCGTATTTAACACATCGAGGCGTCTTGTATTGATTTATAGATGCGCCTTGACTAAGAGCGAAATCCATAACCTTATCAAATGTTCCATTTTCAACAACCTTAATTTCCAATGGCCCAAATGATTCTGTTTTTCTTCCTTGGCGATACACGCTGTTGAGAGATTCTTCAACTGTAAAACAAGATTCCTCGAAAACAGAATCAGGAATCGAGTTTTTCTCGTTCATCGTGATTTCCCAGTAGAGCACATAATGGCCTGGAATAGTTGACGTGTCAGCGCAACTTGTGTATTATGTGAGCGACGCGTTATAGTTCAAAAGATGGTTTGATCCTTCTTTTACTGCATTTTGCAGCTCAACATTCATCAGTTTTTTCTGAATCAATGCTTAAAACGACGTTCTTTCGACATATGAAGTTGAACTGAGGTGCCTTGTTCTTGAATCCAGCTACGCGGAGTATGTCACCAACTCTGTACCTATAAAGTCCTGTTTCGTGCAACAAAATCATGCCGTAGTTATTAGTATTTAGAAGTTAATCAACTATATACATAATTATTAGGATTAAATGAAGATTTTACCGGCATAAGTGGTGACCACAAGCTCATATTCTTGGCCTAACTCAACATCAACAAGATCAACTAAATGTTCTTGCTCGGTGGAGGAAATTGAATCATCGTCTCCATCGAACTTGTTTAGGGGCAAGAACTCGAAGTAGGCCATGGTGGGAATAATTGTATAGCAAACCTCACTTGGTTCACACAAAGGGCTTAAGTTGAGGCCAAAGTAACACTCAGAAGAAGCATACATGGTACAAACAAGAGGAAGACCATTGGTGTAATAATCCAAAATCTAAATATATTGAGACATTGTTCCGGTAACAATAACGTCAACAAACTTTGTGTTAGTTCATAATCTACTAATGATCCCTTTCCATGAGTCTTTCTTGCATTCGGATTCTAAGAAAGCTGCAAGTTTAGGATTCGGTTTAAGTATTTTCATAACAGACACTTTGAGTCCGAGTCAGTGATTTTATCGTCTAACGTATCAGTTTTTATGTCCTTGCACAAAGTATTCCAGTGTTTTTCGAGGAACTTAATAGCGCGGATGAAACCGGAAGCGAAAACAGCACTGACGCGGAGGACTTGCTCGTTTTGGTAAAGACCGCATAGGATTTGAGAGTACATGCTTTGATAGGAATCTAGGCACAGAATGGTTTGGATTGGGCTAGTGTAGTTTGTGTAAGGATTGTTTTCTTGTATTGTGTTGTGAAAATGAGAGCTTTTGTAGTAACTTGTTAATACTGGACGTGCAAGTATCCCACCTGGTGTTTTTGCTTCGGATTTTGTGAATAAGAAGTACATTCCTTTGCCTTTGTGTAAATTAGGAACAAATTGGTCCATCACTGGCATTAGAAGACTGTAGAGTAATGATCTTCTTTCTAGCTCTTGTTCTATTGTTGGCATCAGTTTTCTTTCTCCACCTGATGTTCCAGAGCTACAATAATAACATAAACATGTAAAATATAGTCAGAACTACGTCCACCTCTAAGAATAGACGCGTTCTCTGATGTCTGACAAGTGTTGCTACTGACACTTATTAACATTTGTACATATATTGAAAAAGTCAAACACTCTTTCTTTTCTTTGTTTCAACACTTTAAATAGATGGACAAAGGAATGATACTCATACAACACTTATTCTGACAATTCACACAATTGTGTTAGCTTTTTTTAATTTTATTTGGACAATTCTAACCCACATCTAAAATGATTTAAATTATTTAAAATAATTAAATATATATTGAAGAAACAATGTTATCAATAAAAATGTTATTAATAGAGAATAAAAAACATAAATTTTGATTAAAATATTTATACTTTTTTTAATAATAGTTGAATAAAAGAAGGCCATATATTAGTGACAATATTTTATATTTTTGACATTGTTGATAATAGTATTCATATCATATTGTATTTCAGTATCTGCATTTCAATAAAAAATGAATGTTATTTCATTTTATTTTATATTTAACAAAGTTTAAAGGATTTTGAAAAACCCTTGGTAAAACAACCTATATTCTTCTTGTCATTAGAAGATTCTATGTTTTTATTCCTCATTAATCTCACTGTCAGTCATCAAATTTAACTATGTGACACTGGTACATGTTTTTTCTTAATAAACTTTTTTTATAATTTTTTTTCTCCAATAGAGTATTTATTAATTATTAGTGAAATATTTAACTAGTATTTCAATATATTAATTAGTATTATATTTTAAAATTTTTTTAATTCTTAAGATTGTGTCATCATATGATGAGAGTGATATATTTAAAACTCTATATATTGAGATGTAATGTGTTTTTTTAATATCAGTGGAATGAAAATAAAATTTAATTTTATTAGTTTAATTTTATTTTTCTTTTTCATTGTTTAAATTTTCCAAATTTTTTAAATTTGTTAGAATTTTTATTTTTACATCCTAACTATCACCGTATGGTATGAAAAAAAAGAATATTAACCCAAGTTTAAATATTATGATAATTACTTAAAAGTTATAAAACACATACTTTAAGATAGGTTATACCTCCGAAATCATATTGACTATAATCTAATGTCTTCCGCATTCATTCTTGCATTCAATATTCTTATTTTGGATAGTAAGATTAAGATTCAATTGGTTATATTTAAATTTAATTTTTAATTTTTCTTAAAATAAAAATATTAAATTTAAATTTTAATTGTTAGATTTTGATCCTATACAGAACATATTAAATGCGTGAATGTAGAACGTGTATCACTTTTTCAAACACACTCACTTCTGACACTGCTATGAGTTAGTTGGAAAACTCAAGCAAATATCTTAAAAATAATAGTTGACATATCGATGCCGGAGTGTTTGAGTGGGAGTCCATGGTTCTTAGCTTGGTGGCACAAGTGTTTGAGTGGGAGTCCATGGTTCTTAGCTTGGTGGCACATAATAGTTGTGTTAACAGTTTATATGTAAGTTATGTAGTTAGATATACTGACCTAGTGAGAAATTTTGATATGGGTTTAGAGCATAAAATTGGGGAGTTATCACCATTAGCTATACGATCAATATCCACCTTCAAATCCTCATAACACACCACAGGCAACATCTTGAAACTTTTTCTGTCTGTGCGTCCACCTAAGCCATACCGTTGAAGGTACTCAACATCTGCACTAGTAGAAAGGATCTCACCAAGTACTCTTTCTTGAATTTTATCAGCGTTGATGGTAACATCTTCAATATATTTCAATGCTTTCTTATTCTTGTTAGTAATATTATTACTAAAGCATCATCATGTTCATTACTTTTCTTCATGGATTGGTCTTGTTTAGGAGCCTCTGGCATGGTGATTGAAAGAAGTAGAAAAGAAAGTATTTGAAGAAAGAGTGAGTGGGAGAAAATATCAAAGTGAATAGACAAATATATAGAGCGCCAGCTGTTGGTGCAAAGGTAGAATAAATGATGAAAGGTAGAAATATTCTATTAAGAATGACGGCAGAAGAAACAGGATTAAAAGTTACAATGATTGTCACCCTATTTATAAGATAAAACTAGGGTTACTAGAATAAGATAAAATACTAAAATACCCTCTAACAAACTTAGGGGCTAAGAAAATAGTACAACTAAATAAATATGAATTACTATTAATATTCTAATACCATCCCTTAATTCATATTCCATCAAAACTTGTAACACCAATTCCATCCCTTAGTCTGAGAAATTGATCAGTCTTGATAGCTTTCGTCAGAACATCTGCCAACTGCTTCTGAGTGCTGCAGTGTACAACTTCTAACACTCCACTCTGAACTTGATGTCTCAGAAAGTGATACTTGGTCTCAATATGCTTGCTTCTCCCATGCAACACTGGGTTTCTGGCAAGATTGATTGCAGACTTATTGTCAATCATCAACTTCAGAGGTTTGTCTACTTTAATCTTCAGATCCTGCAACAAATTCAGAATCCACACAGCTTGGCATGCAGTAACAGCACCTGCAATGTATTCAGCTTCACAGGTTGACAACGCCACAACAGGTTGCTTCTTGGAACACCAAGAAATGGAACCTCCCAGAAATTTGAACAAGTACCCAGATGTACTTCTTCTGTCAACTCTGTCTCCACACCAATCAGAGTCTGAATAACTCAGAAGTTCTGACTCATTATTTCCTCCAGAGGGAAATAACACTCCATACTTCAGAGTTCCTTTGATATACCTCAGAATCCTGACAGCAGCTTGGTAATGGGACCACTTAGGTTTACTCATGAACCTACTAACCATCCCAACTGAGTAGCAAATATCAGGTCTGGTATTGCACAGATACCTCAGAGAACCAACCAACTGTTTGAAGGTTGTAGCATCCACATCCTTTCCTTCAGAGTCTGAATCCAGTTTCTGATTTGTATCAGAAGGTGTGACAACCATCTTACAATTCTTCAGATCAAATCTCTTCAGAAGTTCTAATTCATACTTGAGCTGATGCAAAATGATACCTTTCTCAGAATATTTGAACTCCATCCCTAGAAAGTATGTCATTTTGCCTAGATCAGTCATTTCAAATTCATTCATTAGAACCTTCTTGAACTTGGCTATCTCCTGTTCAGAACTTCCAGTCAGTAGTATATCATCAACATATAAACATACCAGAGTCATATTGCCTTCAGAAGTATGCTGAACATAGACACCGTACTCCATCTCACATTTCTGAAAGCCTTGCTTCTTGAAAAATGAATCAATCTTCTGATTCCAAGCTCTGGGCGCTTTTTTCAATCCATATAGAGCTTTGTATAATCTGTACACCATCCCTTCCTGATTCTTTTTCACAAATCCAGGAGGTTGTGACACGTAAACTTCTTCTTCTAATGGACCATTCAGAAATGCAGATTTTACATCTAAATGCATCAGAGGCCAATTCCTGTTAGCAGCTATTGCAATCACCATTCTGATTGTTTCATGTCTTGCTACAGGTGCAAACACTTCAGAATAATCCAGCCCAGGTTTCTGTAGAAATCCTCTGGCTACCAACCTTGCTTTATGTTTGCCAATTGAACCATCTGGCTTTAACTTCTGCTTGAAAACCCATATAACGCTGATGGCTTTCTTGTCTTTTGGAAGTTCTGTCAGCTTCCAAGTCTTGTTTCTCTCTATAGCATCAAGTTCTTCTTTCATGGCCTTCAGCCAGAGCTTCTGCTTAAGAGCCTCCTCTGTACTTATAGGTTCAGAGTCTACTAACATGGCACACTGAATAACTTCTCCTTCAGAGTCTACTTCAGTGTCTTGCAGCATGTCAAATTCTGCAAATCTTCTGGGAACGCTTCTGATTCTTTGTGGTCTCTGAACTTGTTCAGAGTCTTGAACTTCAGAGTTTCCAGCTTCAGATGGTTGACTTCCAGAGCTTTGACCATCTTCAGAGTCTGGCATATTTCCAGAGTCTGAATTTCCACCAAGATCTGGATTGCCATCAGAGTCTGAATCATCAGAGTCTGGGTCATCTGGGTCACCTTCATCTTCTGAGTCTTCTTCAGAGTTTGAATCAGTATCAGAGTCAGAGTCAATATCAGGGTTTACTTCAACTTCAGAAATTCTTAACTCTGGCCTTTCTTCAGAGGTTCTAACATCAGAATCAGATTGAGACTTATCCCAATTCCAAACTTCTGATTCCTTCACAATCACATCTCTGCTGAATTCAATTTTATTGGTTTCTGGACAATAGAGCTTGTAAGCACCAGTACTGTGGTACCCTATCAGAATCATCACTTTGCTTCTATCATCCAGCTTCTGTCTT